GCTGGGCTTCCAGGCCTGAAGCGGGTATCACTTGGATGAACGGACATGATCCATCAGGGGAGCTACCGTCTTGTTAAGAGGAGCCGAACTCCTCTGTAGTTTGCACCCTGCCTACAATCTTGACCATCGGATTACCACAGACTCTTTTACTCATAGATTTGTCTTTTGATAAAATGTTTTTTAATGTCATGAGTTGAGAGTGAAACAGATAAAAGCCATCAATTTTCTTTATTCCCGTGGCCTGCTTATCTATGAGTGAAAAAGTAGGCTTTTAGACAATCAGACAGGACAGATGAATCCGCATCTCTGATCTATGGAACATGGTCCAGCAGCATCCAGCTCTAACCTATTTGGTAGAAAAAAAACAAAAAAGCATTTGTGTGGAAAAACAAAGTGAAAATGAATGTTAGAGGTAAAAACATACACTTCCTCAGTGTCTGCAGGGCATTTGCTGCTACACAAACAAATCTGTGGTGTTCTCAGAAACCCAGGTGACTAGATGCTGACCTTGTGTGGTGTCAAGCAAAATCGGCAGATCAGTGAAAAACTTTTTCCCTGCTGCATGACCAACATTTCACCACATATTTTCAATCAAATACAAAACAATTACGACCTTTGGTAGCAGGGACAGGAAGTTGGTGCATCTCAGCAGGGACAGGAGTTGGCTGGGTGGCCAACTGGATACGAGGAGGAGCAGGATTCAGCAGGGTCACCGACGAGGAACCTGGAGCAGATGTCGGTCGGGCTGCCGATAAAGAACCAGAAGGCCACCAACAGGAAATTAGGAGCAGGGGTCAGCTGGACTGCCAACAGGGAACCAGGCCCAGCTGAGTCCCTGGGGACGGCTTCACTGAAGTAGACTCCTTGGCAAGATCCTGCAGGGAACTGGTTGGTATAGGGCTATCTGGCAGAAGGCAGAACCGTTTTGCAGGCCATCCTGACTCTCTCTCTCGGTCCGTGTGCTTGCTTTTCCCTCTATCTGTGTGAATACTGTGCTTGCCTCTTTTGTGTTTGTGTGGCCTGTTTGTTTTCCGTCTGAAGTGCCTCAACATCTATGTAATGCTATTTAAATCAATATGGAATGAATGATTGAAAGCACTGTATTCCCTCTCCTGTTGTCAGTCTGGAAAGTGGTCTCCGCTGGTCTCAGAGGCTTTGTACGGTCCTGCTGCTCTGTGCGATAACCACGCCCCCTTCATTTGAATATAAAAAATAGAAATACTCAAGGATTTTTTTTCATAGGCATATTTATTTATTAATGCATGCTGGTTCCATATTATTGTTGTTGTTGGTCTATTGTGTGCACATACACATGACATGACATGGACATGTCTGTCTGACTTGGGAGAGGGATCCCTCTTCTGCAGCTCTTCCCGAGATTGATTTCCCTGTTCAAGGGTTTTGTGGGAGTTTTTCCTTCTAAATTGAGGGTCAAAGGGAGTGACATATGCTGTACAGACAAATACAGAATACAGACAGAAGCTTTACTTCCCCCACCTCCTGATGGAAAATCAAGCTGTTTGAAGCTGACCTTTTGCCCCCAATTTCAGTCATTTCTGATAATGGACCATGGCCTCGCATTCAGTATGTCAAACCATAACCATGTTGTCAGGGCTGGACTGGGACAAAAAATCTGACATGTCTACATGACTTGTTTACTGACACCATGGTGATCAGAGGTGGCCATGGAGTACACAAGTTACACTCAAGTACAAGTAACCTACAAGTCATTTTCACAGCAGTGTGGGATTAGCCAACGCGATGCCGACAAAACAACCTCACCTCAGCCATTTTAACAGTTAGTCAAAGTTAAGAATGCATTAGAAGACTATGCTAGCTACAAAAACAATACCAATCAAACATGCAAGCAGTGTTGGGCGGGCCCTCGCACGTGTAGCGTGTTGAGGTGTGAGGCGGCCACGTTGCAGAATCTGGAACTCTGCTGGTGTGGCGGTGAATTTGCCACACGCTTCGGAAACCGTCCCCTTTGTGGCGCTATAACTGAATATTGGCATGTAGAAGTGTTCAGGGTGTGACTGTTATCAAGCACGTAAAGTTTGGCGCAGATGTGAGCATGTACGCTGAAGTTACAACTTCCTCTTTCATGGTGAATCATCGATTTGAGGAGTCTGAGGATTTCTCCCCCAGAAGATTTTGAGCATTAACACTTAATTTCCTGCATTCTGGAGACATTTTCTGCACCAATTTATGGTGGAAATGTCTTTATTTATATAAAGGGAAGCAAAAAATTCAGCTGGCAGGTGAGAATTCAGAATATAAAAATATAATATATGCAGTAATCAGTAGCTTATTTTTTTTTAGATGAAGTTACTTTTTTTTGGACAACGCAGATGTTTCTTCTATATTTACATTGCATTGCATGTTCTTATTGTGCAAATACACCTTTTTTATAGCATTCATTTCTTCAAGTTTTTTTCGAGCATTTCACAAATGCTTTCAAAAGTTGATAGGGGCAACATCTGCCATTTAAAACAGGTCCCTGAGCTACTCCATGCTTACCGCTCATAGACTGTGTGTAAGAAAGGGACGTAGTCATCGTGACATCACCCGTTGGTTTGTGGACTGCCGTTTTGAAGCCTCTAGTTTGGCCGATAGAGTGCCGCCATGTTGATTTTTTGCAACCAGTATTTCTAATGGAACTGGACTTGCAAGCAGAAGAGTCGCCCCTGCTGTCATTTTTTTAAACAGTTAAATAAATAAATAATTTACATTACACCGGCCCCAAAGATGCATCGGCCCACTGGACATTTGCCCAGTATGTCAGATTACCAGTCCACCTCTGCATGTAGGACAAATACCGTAACAGATGCAATTGGCTAGCCTGGCACTGTCCAAAGGTTAAAATCATATATTACAACACATATACTACGTACAAAAACTTTGATTTAGTCAAGCAAATAACCGACAATAAATCCTCAACCTGACATCTGTACACACAGATTTTTGTACAGACTGAACAATGGAGCATATTAATTAGTGAGCTTTAGTAGGCGAATTTGTTAATTTTGGACAGAGCTGGGCTAAACATTTCTTTACACAGCTTATTGGGCTGTAGCTTCATGTTTAATGGATAGATATACTATATGAGAGTGGTATTTACCTTCTCATCTCATACGTTGGCATTGTGCATCTCTTCCCTGATAGGCTCAGTAATGTCAGCATAGCAAAATATTTATTGGATGATAACGAAAACGATTAGTTAGCAGGACTGAAATTATAAATGAGATTGTTGCCACACGTTACTATAACAGTTAGACCATATAGTAATGCTTCTGTAACTTACTGAATGGATCTTCTGCTGTGGTGGCACCGTTGCATTATTGAATGTTATACAGGTCACGTAATTTACAGCAACTGAGACTGGTGAAGAAGCTGTGTACCTGAGTATCAGTAAAATGGCAATAAATCTAAACGTTCCCGAAGCAAACAGATGCATGCTAATCTAGCTGGCTGCTCCTGCCTTGCATCACTGTGAGCTAGTATAAACAACATGTGGCAAGCAATAACGTTACAACTACTGTAATATTACAAACTGGTCTGTGTTAGTGCCGGCAAGTTAATGTCTAAATCTAATTTGAGCCAACTAAAACACAAAATTGCAATATATTTCACATAATTTGCTGTAATGTTACTTTACCTGTCCAATTAAATGAAAGCCAACTTTGGGTAGGTTTTTAAATCCAAAACATAGCAGAGCTCTCTCCATTACTCAAACGCCTTTCCAATGTTGACCTGTGTTTTCACCCGACATCGATCTGATTGTCTATGGACTGATTGATGGGCTTCAGCACATAAATTCTTATTCTTATTCTTTGTGGCGTTTTTTGGTGTTAGCGGACGCCATTTCATTAGCTGTGGTGTTGCTGCTGTGTGTAGCAGAGTTCAGAGTTCAAAATCAGTATGCAAAAGGCTCTGGAGCGCTCATGAACAACGCAGCCTTCTTTAACCAGTGGATTTCGGAAGCAGTACATAGACTGCCAGAGATAACAAAGAAAGCTGATGAATGGTTAATTTTTATTTGATTTTACAACCTGTTCAAAAATAGTCAATAAAAAACTGATTAATTTCATTTAAAAAACTACACATAGCCCTTTAAAGGCAAAGGTCTGACCTGTTCAGGTTGTTAATGTTCTGGAACAGTGCTTCCAGTTCTGATGTAATTGGTTTATGGTGTGTGTTTGTTGTTTCTGTTGTTGTTGTTTGCCTTCGTCATGGCTGAACCTTGCATGAACTTACAAAATACTTGTTCTTAATTTCAAATGATTTGTTTGTCCAACAGACTATTTTCTAACACTAAGTGGGAAAAAACAGAAATTCCAACTAAACCAATTAAGACCAATACGTATTAGGGGACACAAGCTGTGGAACATAGATAAAAAAGTTAATGTATTACCTTTTTCTTTATTGTGATTTATACACAAACACATGCACACACAAGTCAACACAAGTGCATTTTCATGTTTAACAGATGTATGATCATGCCATTCAGGTCATTCTAAAAGTGTAAATTTTCCATTGCCATTTTGTCCCTCTCAGTTGTGCATTGTATGTTCAATTTGTTTGCAGTCCAGGCTGGTGAATAACAGGAAGTATAAATACCAATCAATCAGACAACACATGCTGTCCACATTATCCTTCCAGTGTAGCCATCTTCCTGTTTTTTTTTTTATCATAAACATACTTATGCTGCAAGCTGTTCTTCTTTCTCAAGCTCGAAATACCATAATCTGACATACTTTTTTCATGTGCACCAAATCATGTGGGCATAACAGTGTGTCCCTGTAGCCAAATTCATATGGAGGGATGTATGATCCACTCTATCTGTGCTGCATTGTTTATGTGCAATGATGTCAGCATGATAGGAAAATTGTATATGTATGTGAAAGCCACAGGAGGTTGCATGGTTTGCATAATGATAACGTATGGATGAAAAGGCGGGTTTGGACAAGTAGTTGCTCAAGTTGTCAGATCCAGAAGTCACTGATATGTTTAAGCCATGAAAACCATAATTTAAAGCTGATTACCATTTACTGAGGCTGCCAGTTCACCTCAAACTTAGCATGCTGGGAAAACGATGCAGCACAAGCTACACTGCGTAGGATATCATGGCAATTGTAGACTTAGAGTTCACCAAAGACATACACATACTGTCGTTAATTAGTTGGGAAGCAAAGGGAAGATCACACTCAAAAGTAAGCAATAATATTTATGCTACGTTTTTCTGTGTCTTATGCAGCTCTTGCTCTGATCTGTGGAAATACAATCCACTCTTTCTGCTTATTTCATCTTTCATCTTCTATTATTTCATCCGCCACATTTTGAGAAATTTGACATTTGCTCTTTTGCTGAAAGTTAGATGAAAATATTTATTCCACTCATGTTTGTATGGTAAATATGTAGATAGAGCGTGTTAGCTTAGCACCAAGACTGGAAACTGGGGAAACAGCTAGCACAACAGAGAAATAGTCTGGCACATAAACACTGCAACATTTAATCAGTTATCTAAAGATACTAGTAGGTGGATTTTGTTACGTTTGCAACGAGCCTCAGGACTGCTGCACAGGACGGTCACTCTATGGTCCATACATCCATGGTTTGGACAAAACAAGCTAACTGTTCCCCCCATTCCTTTCTCCTAAGATAAGCTTACTGGCTGCTTGCTCTAGCTACATATTTACCATATATACATGAAATACTGATCTTCTCTTCTAATTCTTGGCACAAAAGCAAATAAATTAATTTCCCAACATTTTCTAGAAACCCATACCTCTTCAATGGCAAATTAAAGGGTCAAACAAGGTCGCAGACTTCATCATTACAGTTTTAGCCCAAAGGCAACATCTCACTCCCAGACTGTCTGCCAGAAGATCTCATTAGATCCACACTGGTTTCATAAGTCCTATTTCCAAAAATGGTGGACTCAGAAGTTTTGACAGCTTTGCCTTCCAGCTTCCCGCCGTTAGCAGGTGAACTGGAATGATGAGAACAACAAAACATCGGTCTCTGGGAACACAGGAGCTTATGCCAGGAGTTACGCTGGAAGATGAAATATATTAAAGGGTTGTATACGGTGGAGCTCTTGGCAAAGAGGCATGGCAACAGGGTGACAAATGGAGCCATGTGGCCCTGTTCCTGGGAGTGAAACATGCTCCAGAAGCTGGCAGCCACGTAGGGAGTCCAGGCAATAAAGAACCCTGAACTAATCATCACAGCCACCTGAAACAAGAAGAGCAGATGAAACAAAAGAAGAATTAGGGGTTGGGAAGAGACAAGAAGGAGAGGCCTTGCTCTGTCCGATGGTACCAAAAACCTCTAAACTGCATATTGATTTTGTTTAATCTATTCAAAAACTAAAGTATAAAAACTGTTGGCTTTCCTCCTCTTAAGTAAACACTGATAAAACTACATTGAGTCGTCTGGAAAGAAAGAGTGATAGAGTGAAACAGATAAAAGGCATCAATTTTGATGATGACTGATTCCTACTGAATTGGAACCTATTTGGTAAAAAATAAAAATAAAAATAGCATTTGTGTGGGACAACAAAGTGAAAATGAATGTTAGAGGTAAAAACATACACACCCTCAGTGTCCGCAGGGCATTTGCTGCTACACAAACAAATCTGTTGTGTTCTCATAAAACCCAGGTGACTAGATGCTGACCTTGTGTGCTGTCAAGCAAAATCGGCAGATCAGTGAAAACACTTTCACTTCTGATCTTTGTCAATCCTTACTCTTGTTTAAACTTACACTTCCTGCAAAGTCACATTCCCTGACGCATGACCAACGTTTACAATCACAATATTTACAATCAAATACAAACGAATTACAACCTTTGCTTTTGAAATCTGCTTCAAACACACTTTAATAATCAATTTTTGTCAGGTTTTTTTTTTCATCGAGGCAGCTTCATTTTGACAGCCACGACCTTTCACCTTCATAGTAATGGATTCAAAATAAGTCAATAACAAGAATAGTAGCAAATGTCATGTGTAAGATGTTGTTATATGATGTCGCAGGTTTGGCCCTTTCCCCCTCACTCTCTCTAATGCACACACTTTGACATCAGTGTTAGTTGGTGTTTGGGGCTTAAGCAAATTAATGGAAAAGTCTCGTGATATTCTATGTTTCTCCTATTGTCAGCAAATCTCATGTAATCAAGTGTTGCCTATGTAGCCAATCCTCAGTGGGAATGGAAGCACTTAGGGCTGAGTGCCACAGACATCGAAGGGAAGTCAGAAAGTATTGAGAGATTGACTAACACATTGCTGGCTGCACTGGCTTTTTCATGTGATTTGGGATTTAACAGGGTCTGTATAGGATGAGATTCCACATGCCATAAATCCAGTAAAAATCTAGGCAATCAACAGTAGGACAGAAATAGATGCTGGTCACCTGTCCATCATTCTTCCATCTAACTCTACACATCTAAATTCAAAATATGCCTCTACTTGACCCTGACACACAGTATTACATGAACAGGGCTGCTGCTGAGCTATGTTTTTTTAGAGAGTCAAGAGTCAATACAGCATTATACTTACAAGAGTGATTTTCTTCTCAATCTTGCCATATTGAAAACCATTGCTCTGGATGGATTGGTAGGCCCTGTGCAGCTTCCAGGCAATACCAAAATAGGTAAAGAGGATGACCAGACAGGGGATGAATGTGCAGAGTACAGACATGGTCATGATGAAGGTGGAGTGGTTTAGGGACTCTCCATAGCCCGTCCAGTCTATTGAGCAGGCAAGTCCAAATGGCTCTGGCCCATAGCTGCCCCAGCCCAGAAGAGGAAACAAGGCCCACAGGCTAGCATACAGCCAGATCCCACTGATCGCAATTCTGATGGTTCTCCTCTGGAACTTGATACCTGTGCACAAACAAATTTTAAATTCAGTTTATCAATATGAAATTCAGTATGTCACCTATGTGGCACTATTGTGATTTGTATAGATACAGTACTACTTTGCACCACAGTATATTCTAACTCCGACTACATTTTGCATTTACTTACTTTTGCATCATAAAGCATAAGCAGCAACTAGGCTTGTGTACATAACCTCTTTCATTGGCACAGCACGTAATGAGGAGTTTTATACAATAATAACCGTGTGGAGGCATTACAGTCAGAGAGGAGTTGACCATTAGATTTGGCAGAAAAGGTTCCTCCCTTTGCATAAAGAATAAGAGTGGAAAGGAGGATTCTGTGATAGCTAATCCCCACACAAACATGAACCTTAGATCTTAGTTAAAGGGATAGTATGTGACTACAATTAAATACACTTTTTAATTCAGCAAATATTTCCTCGCGGTTTGCTAGCTCTCCATTTTTCCTACACAGCCCCTGTTCTGTAAATGGAAAACCAAGAAAGTGAGTGGTCCTTGCCACACAACATTGTACCAGCCAGTCAGCAACAGGTGGATTTGCTTGTCCACATGAGTGATGGGGGGAGGATAGGAGTGGGAGAGAGACTTTTCTACCAGCACATTCAAAGGAGAGATGGTCAAAAAACAGCCAGTGAGGAAAAGGTTTAAAAAAGTAATATCGGCAGACAAAATGAGGGAGCTTTGTATTTGTTTGGCAGTTGAGTTCAGATATCTTCAATCCTTCGGCAGGAGGAGGTTGATGGAACCTCGGAATTCTTTAAAACCTCATTAACATAAAGTATTTTTCATTTCAATTTTTGCATTCTATGATATCCTTGCATTACAAATATGCTATGGTAAATGTTAGGGGAAAATGGTGGATATGGCAAATAAATCATGGTGAATGTATAGGTAGGGTTAGGCAACTAAAATACTTGCTTAAAATTCAGGAATGATTGTGGTTACGACCATTGAAAAAGTTAGTTACAGGTTTGTGACTCTCAAACCACTTGTGGAGGTGCTCATAGACTGATATAAGTAGTGTGATCCACTATGGCTCTACTCAGTGCTTCTGAGATTACACTACCTGCCTTGGGTGGACTTCCTGTTACCAGGTACCTCACCATCCCCATCACAGCCAGAGTCATGATGCTGGTTATGCTGAAGATCATGCCCATCACGCCATAGTAGAGACAAGATGTGTCGCCTCCAATCCAGGCATGGTTAAAAGCTGAAGATATGGACAGAGGATACATGCTGAGGGCCATGCCAATATCTGTTATGGCCAAGTTCACTGTCAGCAGCTCGGGAGCTTTCAGCAGGGTGAGGCGATGACCTGCGCTGACCAGGACTGATGCATTGCCCAAGATAGACAGGATGGCTGCAGAAAGAATGCAAAAGGAAAGAGAAACAAGAAGTGACATCTCAAAACAACAGTTTGACAATTAGCTATACCTGTTACCTGAGAGATTTGCTTGATTTCACCCATTGCTGGTGACACCAGGCAGGATTCATGCCTTCATGGTGGTTCTTAAAAACTAAACTGACTTCAAGTCTTCCAAGTTGATACTGCTCTCACCCTTTCCCAACAAATATCAATATTAATTAGAGCATGCAGTTTAATTTCTCAGTGACATGCTCATACCTTCTATATTCTTAGCAGACAGCGTTCAACTTGATTTTCTGCTGCTGTAACTCTTCTATTTGAGTTTTAATATGTTGTGTATTCTAAAATGCGTTTCCCAGCAAATTCAACAGTTGTTGCTATTCTCTGACCTCACTTACTGTGGGTTTTTCTCATCCCTCAGGATTGTCTAGTTTGTTCTTACACCATGCTTGGTTAAGTCCAGACTCTGTAGAGTTCAAAATAGTGTGTGGAGGCTGGCTGTTTGTGAGCTGTCAGACAGGAACCAATGACACAATAACACCACTCACATTTTTGTAAATATTTAATTATATCTTTTCATGTGACAACACTGAAGAAATGGCACTTAGCTACAATGTAAAGCAGTGAGTGTACAGCTTGTATAACAGTGTAAATTTGCTGTCCCCTCAAAATAACACATCACACAGACATTAATGTCTAAACCGCTGGCTACAAAAGTGAGTACACCCCTAAGTAAAAATGTCCAAATTGGGCCCAATTAGCCATTGTCCCTCCCCAGTATCATGTGACTCGTTAGTGTTACAAGGTCTCAGGTGTGAAGCTACCAGCACAACATACTCCTCTCCCATAGTACTGCAATAAGATAAATAAGATGCTTTTTTACTTCCTTTTTGTCAATGAGCTCTAACCTCACTTAGAAATGAAGCACACGTCTGTTTTCTCTGTTGCTTGCATCAGCCACTATTCTGCTTCTCATGTCAAGTATCGTGTCGGGATGTTGCTGCATGCCCTCTCCCGAGCCTCCATTCAACTACAGCGACATCACCGCAGCTAAAGAAATGCAGTCCACTAACACCACAAAACGGCCGGGTCCCAGCACAACACAATCTCCAACATAAACTCCATGTAAGGATAAAAACCAACAACAAAGTTTTATGTGCTGAAGCCCATCAGGCCAAATGAGAATCAAATCAATGTCGGCAACAGTCAACATCAGCAAGCCTGGAGTCACAGAGAAACCTTCGGGGGGTTTTTTGGAACTGACAAAACAGACACAGAGTTGGCTTTCATCATATTAGATAGGTAAACTAATGTTACTGGAATGAATGTGTTTTTTGTTTTTTTCTTTTATTGCCAAAAAACACTGAAGAAAGAGGAGGTAGCATGAAGTGGCCATCACTTGCATCTTTGTCAGAGGAGGACAAGAAGAAGAAGGAGAAGAAGGAGAGCAACACAGAAAATAACCCAAAACAATAGACACTTTTATATTATATTCCCCTTACATGCCTTCTTGTTTATGTGTAAACACAGAGTAAGAATTGGAGAACAGCACATAGCTCATTGTTACTGTGTGATTGGGAGATGAGCATGGGAGAACAGTGGATACTTTTAATACAGCCCACACCCCTAATAATATTGTGAAAGTACAGGATAACAAGTGGAGAACATTCAAGATTTTTTTACAACTCTCTGCTTACCTTATTAGTCTTATGTAATGTTTGTAAAGAATGAAAATAAATACTAGGATCCTCTGTACCCCATTAAACATTTAAGAATATCTATGTTTGATCCACCTTCATATACACAGTATATGTGACATTGTTACATTTCTGCCTTGTGCAGGATGAACTGTAAATAGTTTTATTTATTGCACATTATCAGCCCCAGCCACTGCTCTTTATTCTGGATTTGTTGTACCTAAAAAAATGTATGTGACAGCTGAATCAGATGATGGTGAGAGTCATTTTCTTCATTAATGCTAAAGTAGTTGCCTTTACATTCAAAGGTGTCTTTGAGGGTGAACTGATAAATGGTAAGCCATATGTTGATGACTGTGGAATGCTCATTCATTGGAGACATTGACAATGAACTTCAGGATACTGTTCAGTATGTAAAGGAACAATCCTTGTCTCATAGCTGGCTTAGACGATGGTCACCTTAGCAATCACAACAATCAGGTCCCAGTTTGGGTTCGGGAGGCAAACACCATCTCCACATTTAAGAGTAGGCTTAACAAGGCTAAGGCTTTCTCTGTAATAAAGCTTGTAGTTAAGACTTGCTCAGGCAAGCCCTAAACCATCCCTTTGTTATTCTAGGCCTAGACTGCCGAGGGACTTCCCACTGATGTCTGCGACTTTGTTGCAGGGGAATAAAGACACGCTCGATTGAGTTTACTTTCTATTGTGATAGTTATTATAACACCTCTTGTGAGAAGTATCAGGGTCCAGCCTGGACAGCTTGTCCTCTAGTGAGGAGGAAACTTATGTAGTGGCAGATACTTGTTTACATCAGATCAGATCTCTCTCTCTCTCTCTCTCTCTCTCGCCCATTGCCATGAATTTTAGGTTGCAATGTTGTCAGAGCACAAATTCACATATATAAACAATAAAAATATAATTAATTAATAATGTGATAATTAAGTTACTTTATACAAACAACAATGGTTCTCCATTTGTTGCATGAGGAAATGTGTTTAAAAAAATATTTACTTTCAGCTTATTGGAAAATGTTAAATCCTCATTCTACAGAATTTCTTTTCTACTGGGGATGACTATACATACATATATATACTATACATACTGTATATATAGGCTATAAAGAAGAATATTAAACACTGCCAACGACGGACACTATAATATATATATATATATAATCTAAATGATTTGTAACTTATAGATACAAACACAATGGTTATTAAACATTTTAATTATGGAGTGATAATGTATAATTTAAAGGAAGGGGATGAAGATCCGATAAGTTCAAATTCAAGTTTATTTACAGCACATTTAAAAAGGTAAAGTATTCCAAAGATTAGGAGCAGCTACTGAAGAGGCTCGATCACCTTAAGTTTTTAACCTGTATCTGGGGACATCAAGGAGCATCTGATTGGATGACCTCAGTGCTTTGACCGGAGTGTGAACATTTCTGATAAATAAGAAGGTGCCAACCTATTAAAAATTTTAAAGACAAGCAATAAAATCTTAAAATCAGTCCTAAGGCGGACAGGAAGCCAGTGGAGCCAAGCTAAAACATGGGTAATTTGTTCAAGCTTTTTAGTTCCTCTTAGAGGTTGAGTTGCTGCATTCTGGACTAACTGTAACCGATCAAGAGATGAATGACCAACTCCAACATACAAAGAATTACAGTAGTCTAGTTGAGACGTTATAAAATAATGAATTACTCTTTCAAAGTCTTGGCAGGTAGGGCTTGACTTTAGCCAACAATCTCAGCTGAAAGAAACTTGCCGTTACAACAGAACTAATTTGTTTTTCAAATTTAAAAGCACTGTCGAAGATCACGCCTAGATTCTTGGTAAATGGATGAACCAAGAGCATCTACACAAGCACTTAAATCCCCAGGTCGACCGAACACAACAACCTCAGTCTTACTTTCATTCAGACAGAGAAAGTTCTGATTCAGCCAGATTTCAAGACCTCTCAGGCAGTTAAGCAAGAACTGAGTTGCGGCTTTATCATTGGATTTTACAGGCAAATAGATTTGTATATTATCTACAAAGCAATGAAAGGATATATTGTGTTTCTTGAAAATGGACCCCATGTACAGTGAAAAAAGCATGGGGCCCAATCATAGACTTTATATAAAAAGGGCCCAATATGAACCCTTGGGGGACCCCACAAGAAATAGGGGCAGAAGATGAAGAAAACTTAGAAACTCCCATTTGAACCATTTGAGGGCTGTGCCCCTAATGCTGACACTGAGTCGGGATAAGAGAATTACATTGGTTCACAAATTTATAGTGAATCTCATCTACACTTTTAAGCAGGTAACCAATAATGTGTGATAGATAACATGTTTGAAAAATAATTTCTTCTACTGCTATGCAGGAAAGTGCTTACCATTCATGTGATTCTAAAAATAGAAAAATATTGGACCATTAATTATAAACTTACTGATGATGTCTACTCCATTAGAGAGATTGGTTGATGTGTTCTGGGTTCAACCACTTTTACATAATATCTCTCTCTTACATAAGGTTATGGAAATTTGATTGATACAACATTAAATATTGTGCTGACGTCTTCATTTTTAAATTGTCCTTTTAATCTGTGAAAAAGCACATTAGTTTTTTGTCCCTCAATAGTCCTAATGGAATTTTCTCTCCCAGAGCAACGTTAACTGACACAAGTGTTCTGCATTCAGTCCTTATTCATCATTATAATAATTAGTATTTTTTGAAAATGTTTCTTGCATGTTGAATGTGATTCTTATGTACGAAATTAAGGTTTAAATGGTATAAATATTTAAATTAAACATGTTGTAAATTATTATTACTATTATTTAGTAATAAATCATAGAATTTAAATTCTCAAAAGATACACTAAACTATCAATTTGTAACTCTAATTTATAATGAAATTAATAACTATAACCAAAATTACCATCAACAGCTAGTAGGTTGAAGGATTTGGAGTTACATAGAAGAGATTGACGATACATTCAATCTTACGCAAAATTATAGAAACCAGTATATATATACACAAGCAGTTATTTAATAGATAAACAAAAGCAAAGGTGTGAGAGAGAGAGCTTCTTTGTTCTGCCTCCCTTTGTCTCGCGGGCATGAGCATGAACACATGTGGTCAGAACAAAGAGAACATGTGAACTGGAGTTTTAAAGTTCCTCTCCGCCATGTGTGGTTGTGTTTAAGGAAAATGTCCCCAGTGACAGCTGAACCTTATTTCACCCCATATCTCCCCACAATGGCCTGTGCGCTGATGCTCTAACTGATTACTGGATCACCTATTGTTCTTTTACTTCATGGCTACACCAAGGGAACTGGCAAAGCAAAGCAACCCCACCGCAAAGCTAATGAAATGATGAAACTTCCCTTGGAGGTATACATTTACAATTCACAAACATACATACACACACATATAGAGAGAGAGAGAGAGACACACACACACACACACACACACACACAGAGTTTGCCAGCACTACCTGAACATTTTCCTGATTTCTCCTACACCAAGGATTTTGTTAATTCTTTTAATTCTCTGTGTTCCTTAAAATTAGATTTCATCGCTCCTTGAATAATACACCAAACGTAATGACTGAAAAGGTGGAGTTAGTAAGATTTAATTTTCCCCCCAATCCTGCCTTTTTTTAGATGTTGATCACCCGCTCAAGAATTCCTTGAGCTATTTATTTTCTATTACTGAACTCATAGAAATCATGTCTAATATGAGAGTATCCTCCAGCCATCTTGACATAATTAAAAAAAAAAGAGTTTTAAGTTGAAAAATTATGTTATGTTGAAACATCTCTCTCCGGCGTTGAATTATGGATGAACGTTAAGCTAATGTTACTTTTATATTTTGGAAGAAATGGCGGAAGGATGCAGAGATCAGTAGCAAGTGATTAACAAACACACCCAGTCTTTTGAAAGTGGGCATCTGGGCACATTTCAGATTTAATGAACTTACTGGGAATCATGAACTGGACAAGAGGATGTTATACATTGAGATGCAATGAATCGTTTGAACTTTTGCCAGGTCAATCGTAATCAAATCATGATCTCTATTTCAGCTTGTTCGTCATCATTACATAATTATCCAACATTTTTGTGTGGAACCAACTACTGCAGAGACCTGGATAAGGTGTTTCCATGCTACAGTATCCTGCTTTTCTAATGGAGTATAGCTAGGATATCCAGGATTCTCAAAACACGGAATAAGGGCTCATCCAGTTTAATAAGGTGTTCACATGCACAAAACCTAGATCCTAACCAAGTTAACAAGATAATTATAACCAGGATATTTGTGCACATGTGAACACATTCACTGTGTTGGCACTCTTTCAGCACATTGGTATTTCTTCATTCACCTCATTCAGAAGATGGCATATCAACCTCAGTCATAATTTTATGTAAAATACAATGCACTGGAGAAATCTAGTGAGATATAAATAAATGGATTTAAATTAAAACCCAACTAAACTGAAGTTGGCATGGAGAACAAAGTGAATGAGATACAAAGCTCCTATATGTAAAGGCTGTGAAAAGGGGACACCTAACTGTAATATGTACTTGAATGTTATATGGTGTGTTAGTGTTTGGTATGAAAAATCAATTATGTGGTGTGCTTGTTGGATAGACTGTGTTTAAGATCTTTTGTTAACAACACTCAAGCCAAACCACTTCAACATGATTTCTTATCAGTTCTGAAGTAGGAACAAGAAGTAAAGCAAATCAAACTAAGAATATTGTATGCACAAAATGGGGAGCTGATAAGACAGAAACAGGTAGTTTGACACGAAAACCCTGCCTCCTCACTGTCTCTTTGGACCAACAAAGAGAATATTCATTTTGAGGCTTAATAAAGTGCTTATTTCTGAATCATGGGTTTTTACCTTTATCACCTGTCCTAAAATGTATCTATGCAAGCTCAAAATTTTAATCTTAGTAATTTCAGATTCCCACCTACGGTCGACCCGATATGATAATGAAATAGGGTAAGCAGTGTACTTACCAATTATGACCAGGTACATCCCTGCCCAAAAATCAACAGTAGGTGACAGTTTAGACACGTATTTATCATCCATGTTTGTCCAGTCAGTGATAAAAACACAGATAACTTTAAGTAGGAAAAAACACAACAAAAACACAAAACAGGTTATGAAGTTTAGTCCCGAATGTACCTGGACTGAATTTTTAAAAGACTGAGCATATTGTTTCTTGTCAGCCCAAATATTCTCTCTTTACTGCCACCAAATGTACAGGCATGGAGACCCATGCAGACAATTCGCTGTATGGTACAGTACACAGCTACACAGATGATCGACAGAGACAGACTCCCCCTCCACCCTGCTACTTTCACACACCAACATACCCAGAATTGCTATCGTACACAAACACAAACCTACCTACCTACCCACACACACACACACACACACACACACACACACACACACACACATTGTTAATGCAGATTATGATAACAAACAATCACTTCATGACACATTTTTCTCATCCCTCAAAAAAAACAAAAACACTCCACTTACACACGCACACACGCACACATACACACGCACACACACACACACACACACACACACACACACACACACACACACACACACACACACACACAGCCAGACACCCAGGCTGGATCTATGAAAGCCAGAGGTAATTACACAATATGATGTTGGCTCTAACAGAGTGTGGAAAAACTGATTCATCACTTATCAGTACTTAGTAAAAGCAGCTAAATGTGATCTCTTACATTAATAATGTAATTATGTTTATAATAATGAATTGAAAAATGAAGAAGGAACAGAAGATTATTGTCTTTTATGCTTTCAATTGAAGATTAAAGATAAGATAGAATAGGATTAATATCTTACAAAGGGGGATTTATGGTACAAACTAGGGCACTGTCCATGAATATAATGTGTGTTCACGTGTGTGGGTGCATTTTAGTGCAAGGGGGTCGTGATGGATTACCTTGTGCTTTTCATACATGATTAATGACTAGTTCCTATTTCTTTAAGCGCTCACCTGTATTTGCATCACATTGAATTTACAACTTTTATCAGTGTGAACTTCAAAGTTAGAATTATTCAGCAGTTCATCAGAGTGATGGTCTGTGGAAAGAAACAGTTTCTGAGTCTGTTGGTTTTGGCGTACAGTGTTCTGTAGCACCTGCCAGAGGGGAGAAGCTGGAACAGGTTGTGTCTGGGGTGAGATGGATCTGCAGTGATGTTTCCTGCCTGTTTCCTGACTCTGGAAGTTCTGAATGGAGGGCAGGTTGGCACCGGGGATCTTTTCTGCAGTCCTGACTGTCCATTGTCGTCTGTTCCTGTCCTTTTCAGTGGCAGATCCAAACCAGATAGTTATGGATGTGCAGATGGACAGACTGGATGATAGCTGTGTAGAAGTGGATCAGCAGCTCCTTAGGCAGGTGGAGCTTCCTGAGCTGGCACACAGGAAGTACATCCTCTGCTGGGCCTTCTTGATGATGGTGTCAGTGACAGACTCATCACTGTCCCGGATGAGGCCGATGGCTGTTTTGTCGTCTGCGAACTTCAGGAGTTTGACAGATGGGTCTCATGATGTGCAGTCATGGCAGCAGAGGGGAGAGCACACACCCCTGGGAGGCGCCAGTGCTAACTGTCTGGGTGTTGGATGTGATGTTCCCCAGCCTCACCTCCTGACTCCTATCAGTCAGGAAGTCTGTGATCCATTGATAGGTGGAGGCTGGCACAGTGAGCCCAAAGAAGAGTTAAAACCGCCTGCTCCCGTGTGATTTGTGTTGGGTCCCGCGGGACCCGCAGGATCCTAATCCCAATGCAGCTCTCTACTTCACACAGCTCCAGTGATCTGTCGAAAATCTTCGTGAAGATGGTGGCTAGGAGCCTTCCTGATCTTGCCGCACATCCTCTTTATAGTCTCTCAGTGCAGGTGGGGGGTCAGTGTGGAGGGGTGACAGGGTTGTAGTGAGAGAAGGTGATAGTTTGATGTTGGGATGGTGGACAGGTGTGAGTGTGAGCTTTTCAAACCTGCAGCAGACCTCGTTCCAGTTGTCAACCAGTCGTTGGTTACCAGTAGAGTGGGGGTATGGTCTCCTGTAGTTGGTGAGAACTTGCGGGCTTTTCCACGTTGACGCAGGGTCGCCGGCTGAAAAGCTTTTTTCTAACTTTTCAGCATAGCTCATCTTTGCTGCTTTGACCTCCTTTGTCAGTGTGTCCCTGGCCTGGTTACTCTGTCCCCACTTCTGAAGGCCTCCTCTTCAGACTGACAAAGCTGCCTGAGTTTCACTGTGAACCAGGGTTTATTGTTGTTGTATGTGCAAAAGGTTTTGGTCGGCATACACATGTCCTCACAAAACCTGATGTATGATGTCAGTGTCAGTTAGTTCCTCCAGGTCTGTGGCTGCAGCCTCAGAAACACTTCCATCAGTAGAATAAAGGGAGGCCGTTAATTTGACTCGTTCATCTTCAGTCTTGACCACAGGCTTGTGTAGATTAATCCCAGCAGGTGAAGTCCATATTTGAGAGCTGTACACAAAGTACGGACTCGAGGGAAAATGAAACCCTTGACCCTGGTTAATATAGCCTACAGCATGTCTTTACTTTGCACCTTTTCCACATTTATCCAAGTGGTCTTTGCACCTCTTTATGTGCGAAAAGGGCAGTGAAAACATCATAGTTCACATAATGTCTCTGAGGTCTAAAAATGCTGTCAATGGCAGAGGGTGTAACTGCAGTGACTATGTATAATTACAATATTGTCCTATATGCTGCAGTTTTACTGTGGCACACAAGTGTCAGAATATTGTGAAGTAACAACATTCTCACTGAGTTTTTGATTAAGGAGCTGTGCAAAAGCAGACAATGTCTCATGAACATTTTTTATACATGATTTTATACATTAGTCAGTGGACATTTCCTATAGGCTACATGGGAAAGTGCTATGTCCATGAACGTGTTAAAAGCAGTCACCACGTTACACAGAATATCAGGCCTTGCTAATGGAGTTGGTTTAAGGTGGGAGAAAGGAATGCTTTTAGCCATGTCCTAAATACCTTGGGCATTAATAGGGCAGCACTCTTCTGGGAAAGCAAAGGCTTACCTCAAGATTTTTCGGACTTTGTTCCCATTTAGCCAAAGAAGCGTTTGTGAGGTCAGGCACTGATGTTGGACAAGAGAAAGCCAGGCTCCTAATCACCATTCTAATTCCCCCTAAAGGTCCTCATTGGGGTTGACGTCAGGGCTCTGTACATGCCAAATAGTTCCTTAAAAACAAATTTCTCTTACCATATCTTTATGGATTGTGCACAGGGACACATCTGGATCAGCAAAGGGCCTTCACCATACTGTTGCCACAAAGTTGAAAGTCTTGTCTTCATATCCAGTATTAAGAATTCACTGGAACTAAGGGACCTAGCCCAAACCCTAAAGATCAGCCGCAGACCACTGGTCTTCCTGAAAACTTTAGGTACACAGAAAGCACTATGCATTCTGGTAGGTAGTGTTCGCCTTGCATCTGCCAAACTTAGATTTTTCCATCAGGCTGCCAGATAGTGAAGCATGATTTATCACTCCAAAGAACACATTTCTACTAGTCCAGCGTAGAATGCGTGGGATTTCCCCCTTTCTGGTTTATGTAGTATCTGTAGTCTTGCTTAATGTCCCACCCATCTGCTTCGTTACAAGTAAAAAATAGCCTATCAACAGTCACAAGACATTTGTTGCAGTGAACAGCGGAGCTGCATGTCAAAAGGAAGGCAGCCGATATTACTGAAGCTGCAATAAACATCACAATGTGATGATCTGTTTCTATGATGACAAGCAGCCCAGTGTCCCTGTTACACCACTGAACTTGCCCCAAGAGCGATGACATAATGCACAGCAGAGGGGCAGATAGATTTTGTTAAAATATTATGACTATTCTTATCAGATTGTGACATTTTTCTCAACATGTCAGAGAACACAGATATGTGGGATATATTTTGAATGTACAGAAAATTTTGATCATCATGGGTGGGGCGTAACATATGGGGCTTGTCCGGGATAGAACAAAGTGAGACCTTGAGTGTAGTGGTCGTCTCTTTTGTTAGATCATCTGTAAGTTGTTGCTGCAATGTTGTTTTGCTGTTGAGCACTCTGACTAGTTAGCCACCGGGCAGGTTTAAAGAGCTTGCCACTTTGTTTCTTTGTTTGTTTTTGGGGGTAATCCTGAGTGGGGGCACGCTTCAGTGTATTGCAGATGGCTACATCTGTGGTCTTCGGTGATGCACTGAGTTCAGCGTTTAAAGTTGCCTCGAGCTTGGCAAGCCACTGAAGACTAGCTATAGCTATAGGCAGGTTAGGATTGGGGTGTCTCTCTACAGCTTGTTTTCCATAGCACATGCACAACAACTTTATCTATTTGTGTGAGATGACTGCTTTGTTTGGTCACTTTTCTTGTTGCTCTGATAAAGACTTTTGTTAGCAATAACTTCTGAAATGCAGGAACTTGTGTTTGGGGTTTTGTGGTCTTTTCCACTTCATGATGGTGGCCATTTTGTGGAAGTGGCACTTGATTTGGCTACTAGTGTGGTTGATGTTTATTCTTAAACCCAGTGTCAGCTTTGTTATCCCTTTCATGTGTGATTAGATCTTGTGTGTTCCACATTTGACCCAAGTTCATACCTTTTTCGTTAGTAAGCAGCAGTAATCCCAATTTGGTTGACTCAATTGTCTAGGGTTTGCTTCATATTGAGGCTTGAAAAGTTACCATGTAGGTGCTCTGAGCAACATTGTAGGTGCCTACTTCAGTGCAAACCTGTATTATTGCACCTGCTCAGGTAGCGAGGTGTGTGTTATGTGTCTTGCCTTGTAAATCATTACCTCAGTTAGATCTAGTTCATTCCTAAAAATAACTTCAACTTGTTTGTAACTTGTCACAATGAACACTTGTGAGCTATATTTGGTCCGTGTTGAACTTATGTTTTTGTACATGTGATTGTGTGACAAAAAAGTTGTTTTAAGGGTAGGGGTGTTACAGCTGTATGTGTTTCTCTGTGCTTTGTCCATGTACCTTTTCTGTCCTAGTTCTGCCTCAGGAGTGCTACAGCTGATTGCCGAAGGAGGTCCACCACCCACAGCGACCCGCCTTGTGTTTTTGGTGTTCTTGATTTATT